CATAATCTTCTAATGTTTTTATTATAACTGACTTTATATCTTGAGCAGTTTGGCCTGATTTCTGAAAGCTTAATATAATATTAACTTGTTGCCAATTATTACTTATCCAGGAGCTAGTAACAACAGTATAATGACATTTGTGGACTGTAGAATACCATCCATCACATATTAATGATATTCGTCCTGGAGCTTTTGCTAATATATTTTTTATAAATTCAAATTTTAGGCTAAATATATTTCCAGAAAGATGTCGTAAGACTGTAGTTGAGTGTAGAATTTTATATGAATTAGTTACACTATGAAGTTTTCTTGCCATACTGTGGAATAGCGAACTATCAAGTACATTAAAGGAAATTCCAGTTCCAACAACTAAATCAATAATTGAAGTCTTCATTTCTTCTTTTGTAATTGGTTTAATAAGTCTAGATTTATTGTCTCAAGCTACACATAGAGGAGAACAAGGACAAGATGTTGTATGTTCTTTCAAATGTGTCTGACTTGTATTAAATGTATATAGTTTATTTTGACAATGTTGACATCGCCAAGCTTTATTATTATTATGCAATACTGTAATCCAATAGTCTTTAGTACAATAAGTACTATTACTACAATTAGAAATAGAGTTATCAGAAGAGTTTTCCATTATACACAGAGAAATTTGACAATATGATAAGTATTACAAAAAAAAATTTTATTAAATAATGCAAAATGAGAATATATATATTATTTAAAATAAAATTACTAATTATATTTTTTTTATATTTCTAATTATTATATTCAATATGAATTGATTATAATGATGAGAAAATATTGATCTAGTTTAATTATAAATCATTCAATTATATAATCTAGTTTTTAATACCTCTGACTATTCTAATTCAGAAAAGCTAAAGTAGTAAATTTTTTTTTTTACTCTTTTTTTAATTGTCTCTTTTAAAATATAAATTAGATTATTATATATATTTCAAATTCAGGTATAAAGGGAAGCTAGTCAAAATCTTGACAAACAGAATTCTGACAATAGCAAAATCCTGATTGATTAGCCTATATTAGAGTTAGGATTAGTATAGTGTTAGTTAATTTTTGTTAGAATTTTGTTTGTCAGGATTCTGTTTGTCAGAATTTTGATTCAAACTTAATATAAAGTTAATCTAGATCAAAATATATTTAAAATAGAGATTAGGTTTAGATTATAGTTATATAAACCAAGTAACTTAGATAAAAAAACCTATAGTATTAGCTAACATTTATTTATCATTACTTTATTCGCTTTAATTTAATTTATTAATTAAAATTAGCAAAACTACTGATTAATAATATGTTAAATTAAAATCTACTAAATTATCTTATTAATATTTTATAATTGATTAATTAGTAGATTTAAAATTAAAAACTTTTTTGGTTTAAATTATAGGATTTACTTTTAAAAATAATGATTACGACTTAAAACTTTTGAATATAATATTATTTCATTTGGGATAATAACCAAATACAAATATATGTTTTATTATCAGTTAATTATGTCAAGCTTAAAAAAACAATACAATCTGATAAATCAATATTATAAATTATTACAAGAATCTAAGAGTCTAAGTAGAGCATGTTAAATACAAGTATAATAGTTATATCAGAAATGTTCTTTCAAGGCTAGAATAGAATTTATTTGTGAAGTATAACATCTTGTATTCAGATCAACTAGGTTAGCTAGTTACTTTTTTATAATCTAGATTGTTAGTTTAGATTTTGTAATATAGGTTATTGACTCAGAAAAGAAATTTTATATGACTTACAGCTGTTTTTATTCTAAATAGGCAGATAAAAAATTAAACTAATTCGATAAGTATATTGTTTTTGACTATCTGATACATTTTTTATAATTAATTTTAATTTTTTTATTTTAAAATAAAATAACTCTGTGGAAGCAATAATTATGGAGGTTAATAATTTATATAAGACAGGTGAAAGTGAAAAACTAAATATAGCTAGGCTAAAACTCGTTTTAAGAAACAAAAGGATAATTTATTGAATAATAAAACTCAATTAGTTCAGCAATTAGTAGACACAATAATAACCTAATTTTTTTTATAAAAAACACTCTATAGATATATTCTTTAGGTTTTAAATAATATTTAGAAAGTTTTTTTTTAAAAAAAAAATGTATTTGTATTGTATTCTTCTAAATTTATTAAAATCAAGTATTTTTTGATAAATGCGTAGTTAATAAAAATAGATTAAGTGGGTCAAAAACAATATTTTTGCATATTGTTTAAATATATATATAATCAACTGTTTGAGCATAGTAGGTATGTTAAGTGGTCCGAAAGGAACTAGTTCAGTGCTGGTCTTAAACTAGGACTACTAAAAACTGGTCCGAACTAGTTAAAAAATTACTTGATATAAATAGGTGTCATTTTTTTGATACATTAAATAAAATTTAATTAAAAATAAATCAAGAGAAATATTTTTATTAGCAGTAATTTTACAGATATTTTATCACTAATCAGGTAATTAATAGAACTCCGATTAGTGAATTTTAAATCGTAATATAATAATTAATATTGCTATATTGAACTAGTTCAGGACTAGGATGAACTAGGACCAGACTGGACCGTACATTTAACATCCCTAGGGCATAGGCACTAGTTCGGCATAAGCACAGGCATAGGGCATAGAACTTTGTGCCTAGTCTAAAATACCAGGCATATTTTGAGGCAACTAGTATTAAAATACCACTTTACTAGTGCCTGACATAGTGCCTAATATGCCCAGCATGGGCATTTACAGAACTCTAATGAAAACCAATATCCTAGAAAATGAAATGCTTACTATAGTGATATATTATATAGAATAGTATTGTCATAGCTAATACTAGTATTACAAGTAGTATAGCCTTCTTAATACATCTCAAGTAACATAAGACACAAAAGGGGGACTCCTAACAGTATCAAAGTGGAATGTTACATCACTGTGACAGTTCATTAGAAAAGTTTATTTTTAAAGTCAAAAGATCATATTTATTAAAGAACTAATAGAGAACTTAGAACTTTATTGAGTACTGTATTGTTTTAGAACTGTACAGACTGAT